CTCACATGTCCCAGTTATAATATTTTTGGGTTTTCGTGTGTCATAGTGTAATCACCATAACAATACTTTGGTAAGTGTTTAGTAGCAACTAGTTTTATAAAAGCCATAGTGACCTTTAATTAGGAGAGCTGCAATTATCAACTTTCTCGCTTACCTTCTCATCATCTCTAAAATCACACAATTCATCAGAATTCAATATTCCATTATTATTGTAAACGAGTTAATTGGTTTTCTACTGCTTCTGTTTCAAGCTGCACAAGTGCCTTTAAAAATGGAAAAACTGCAAAAACTAATTTGCCAATACTTGGTTTACGGGCAAAAAACGATGTCACTGACAAATAGAATTAAAGTATCCTAATTAATTTATTAACTATAACTAATATTTAGTTTTAATTCACATCAGACAATAACTCATTTAGACTCGCTGTCTGATTTTAACGGAATAGGCTTTGACCTTTGGAACGGAACAGTAATTCAACTTCGACATTTGCTTTACGTGAGTTTAAACATTTTGACTAGTCAACCAAAATTATTATTTTTAAAGCAAACAATTGATCTATAAATAGACTCTATTTAGTTTCCTGTTGGGGAAAGCTTCAGTATGCAGATTATCTTATAATATCCTAATTGTAGTATAATTGTCACATTAAAAGGATAACTAGTAAATAATATTTGCCAAACAGTTCCCTTTATCAATACCGCTAATTATATTTTTACTCAATTAGTACCTATTTAAAAAATCATACTTGACTAACCGTTTACGTTTTATTCAAAAGATATTTCGAGACTGCAGTCAGTACTTTATATTGCTTGTACTTTTGTCAAGAGAACACCACTTGGAAGCAAACTGAATTTTTAAATAAATAAAGCTGTTTGTAAATTCAATTTTTGTTAAGATAAGTTTTTTTACAAGCATCTGACACAACAAACAAAACAAAATAAAAGAGTTTAAAAACTTTCATGAGCAATCATACAGAACTGGGCACTAGATGTGATACACAGGAAGTAGCCATATTTAAATTAGGCAAAATTGAATGAAGCACTACTTTAAAGTGAAATTCAGTGGCACATGTGCTAACTTAATCTTTTCAAGTGAACTTTCTTCTCAAGCCAATTCAGAGAACGGCATTGAGAGTTTTCTTCAACTTTCATTAATCAATGATGATTAATGTACTTTCAATTGAATACAAATTTCCTCAACTGGTCAATTACTTTGACATTGTTGCGTGTTTTCAAACAGCCACTCATATGTAGTTTTCATTTTAAAACTTAAATATCTAGTGCTGTAAAAAGCTTATCGAATAGTCAAAAAATGAAATAATTTAGTCAATTTAATATTTTATATAAAAACATTTTATTGCTTATTTTACATAAATTTTGTACAGCATCTTTGATTTTAAAAAACTTTGTAGTGCCAGTTTGACTGTCATTGAGCGTATGGCGAAAGAAAATTGAAAAAGATTCAAAGTAGATAGAGCATTCATTCAATGGCAAAGTGCATCTGAGCACTGATACATAATACTGCTGTCAAGGCAAGCACGTGCTTATTCAATACCAAATGTTGACGACTCTTCAACAGCAAGCAACAGTTTCTCGTAAAGATTTTCAAACGATGTATACGGTGGTAAGTCAAGTCGGTTAAAACATGTGTGTGCTCTATAAATACAAAAAATGCATTTAAATGGTTGTGAACAAATTCAATCAAAATGAAAGAACATACCGTGGAAGACTCGTTGGCTTTCCCCACTTTTCAATGCAAAATTTGCGAGGCCCGTTCGAACCTCGAAGTGCAGCAAAGCCTTCGTATGGTATTGAGCTTGTGCCTTGAAAACGAGTAAAAGACAAGTTAAGCGACAATATTTGAGCAATAAACTAGTAGTACCTGTGACAAATTGAAGCAACCGTAAACGTTGTTCATTATCAAAGCGGTGTTCGATAGCCGCCCAGTACCACTGAATCACAGGGTGCCCATCGTGATAGCCAGATCGGTATTCGGTGTTTTTTCGCCAATCCTGTACGTCAATCTCCGCAGTGCCGGCAATAACCAATTCGAGTTCTCGGGCGTCAAAAGCTGCCAAAAATCGTGGTTCCACCACTTCATTGAAGCCTTTCAGTAAAGCCTGACTCTGCTCAGCGACGCCTCTTTCAACACGCCAGCGGATCATCCGCTCAATGTATTCCTTTTTGTTGCGCTCAGTTAGTGAAATGTTTCTACCACCGGGTTTGAGTTCCTATAATCAACCGAAAATCGTTAGCAACGTCCATAGAAACATGACAAAACTGACCTTTTCAATAACTCCGTCCTTTAGTGTTTCCTCGGTGACAGAAAATGTGAGGTCTAGGGCTTCTGCAGTTTCTGAAATATCATTTTCCTTGATCCACATTAGAGATTGATGAAAGCCAGCATCAAGCGATTCGAGGTCGGAAAGATCACAGTCAGATTTAAGGAGAGCTTTGTAGAAGGGACGGGTAAAGAAGACATCCAACAGGTACTGATGAATGAGAGCCAGCCCCAGAACACGTCCTGAGAAGCGGAACCACTCCAGGTGGTCGTCGATACAGGCAGACATTGGTGAAATTTGCACCGTGTACTGGTCGTTTGCCGAGTACTCAAATAAGGCATAGTAAGGATTAAAAAGTTCTCTGCAATTTAAAATAAAAACAGTAAGAATAAATAATTTTAAACATCCGTTTTGTGAAGATGTTTTTTAAAAATAAACAAACGCTTACCTGCTCAAAAGAAAGAAAAATTCACGTGACGGACCACCGTAATCGAGGCCTTCTTCGCCGAGAAAACTTATGTACAAACGCGATTTTTGCAGTTCTTTTTTCGTACTAATAGACATAATCTTGTTAAATGCATCTGCTAGAAGATTGTCACGACGAACAATCAGTTTCAGCTTTCCGGGTCCTTGACCATAGCCATTCTTTTCAATCTTTCGGTAGAAGTTACGTAGCTTGGCGTCAAAATCGCGTCGAAGATGAGACCCAGCAGTTCGCGTAGTGGGCACAGACATTGAAAGAACAGAAAATGAAAAGGACGAAGAAGTGCTCTGAGATCGCTGAGATGAAATGTTTGCCACATTAAAGGGGGTGGCAACAGACGGTGGAACGTAGGACATGATTTCGTTTTCAAACAGTGACAGAAGCATTATCAGTTCCATGTCATTGCTGAACCTGTGCAGTGCTTCAACTCCATCCGAACGAATGGAAAAGATGCGATCACGAAGCGAAGTATTGTTCTTGATTGACGACTTTCGCTCAGAGAGAATGTCAATAATGTTTGGTTGCTGTAAAAAGGCCACCACTTTGTCATTGTAGGCAGTGGGCACGGCTGACTCAAAGAACACTGCTGCCTCACTGGTGGACGGCATTGCTGAGGATGTACTGGCTACTGAGGGGGACGACGTTGATGGACCGGCACCGGGAACGGGACTGGCAGCAAGTGGGCGAGGCGGGGGAACGGGCAACGGGTTAGAGATGACAGCACCGGCTGACTCAACTTGACCTGCGGCGTGTCCCTGATTCACTGTAGCACCAGTAGAGGGGTTTATCACATTTGTTGGCACTAGAACAGGAGCACCCTTGGCGTTTGTGTTACTGCTAGAACCGCGACCTCTTCGTCTTATTGGCACAATTGAGATTTGGTGGGGATTCACTGCAGGTATGTCCAGAGGTAGTCGAGGATCAATGTAAGTAGTTGTACGAGTGGTGTGATCAATGAAAAACAGCTTATTTTGCCCGTCTCGTTTAGACTCCCAACCTTTACGACAAAAATAAAACAAAAATTTTAAACTTAAAATACACACTTGATAAATTGGTATCAAGAAAAAAATACCTTGAGGAAGAGGCAGGTTAGTTTCTGCAAACTTATTTATCAACGCCACCAAATATCGGTTATGTTGATGTCGATCAAAAGACCCAGTAAGTGGCGGATTCTGTTGACCTTCCCGTCGAATTCGTGTTACCATTGACTTCAAGGTAGAAGAGCCATTGTACTGAGCCAGCGCATCATCATTTAAATGAAGAAGGTTGAAAAAGTCTGGCCGAAGAAGAAATCGTACGGCTGGAAAATCCAGTATTCGATTTCTCACCTGAGCAGGCGGCCCTGCAACAGGTGCTGACTGGGGCGGTGGCGGCGGGGGCGAAGTTACAATGACTGGTTGCTGAACAGGAGAAGTAGAGGCTGAAGGAAGGTGCTCGGATGAGCCAGAAATGGGGCCGACCGAGGGAAGGGGCGGAGGTTGCAAAGTAGGCTGCTGAGATGTTGACGCAGCAAAGTAGCTATGTCGTTGTTGCTGCGAGCTGCTCGGGCGTGGCACATCAGAAGAATCAACGACATCTAGAATGCAAGCACATATTTAAGCTATTTGTGAAAAATAAACACTGAATAGCACAGTACTTACCGACTGTCACACCGGAACGACCGGAAGAGACAACGGAACCGTACAGTGAACCGGTATTATTGGCGAAATCTCGTGTACCTCTGCCAGTGATTGACCGACGAATAGACTGATATCGACGGTCTAGCTGTTGCCGGTGAATGTTCTCGGCGTTAGAGAGGTACATTGCGGTAGCCATGGCCATGCTGGAGGCACTACCGTTATCTGCTGCTGTTCCAAGAGTTGACTGTGCCGCAGAGTGATGAGCTAATATGTTGCTATAAGCATTTGAAGTTCCCTGGCCGGAAGAGTTTTCTTTTGGCTGAACTGATGCTGAAGTAGTAGCTGATGGGTGTGCATTGCTTGCAATGGATGGTCTACTGCCGCTACTACTGCCAGCTTGTGGCTTAAAGCTAGGTCGAGCCCATGTGGTGGTTCGATTTGAGTGATCAATGTAGAACAAGCGTCCATGTGCATCAAGCCGAGCTTCCCAGTTGGGCGGCAAAGGTTCATCTGTTTCAACTCGGTTGTAGCGCTGTTGAAAGCCTGTCCGGTCTGGAATTGATGGCAGGCGAGTGATAGTTGCTGACCTTACATTGGGCAAGTTGTTGTTGTTTTGACTGAGGCGGTTTGACTTGGTGCGCAGGTTGGTAGAAGAGTTGGAGATAGATGAACCTAAAAGTGGTTAAAAATAAAAGTTTTGTTACAAAACACTTGTAAATGTGCTTTCACTGCCTCTTGAGTATTTCAAAGCGAACCGCTAAAACGAGTGTGATATATCGGTTTGTTGACAGATACAAATATATCTGTTCTCGAAAAATTGCTTGCATTCAGTGTGAGCACATGTACAAAAGAAATACTAAAAGTCACACACAACTGGTGTTTCTCCCTTCTCTCTAAAAATAAAGGGGATTTGCAGTAACTAGAGACTACAAAGCTATACTATTTTAATGTAGTTCTATCGTAAGGCAAATAAACAAGAAATGTCGTAGTGTACTGGTTCACAAACACATTGAAGCTGTAAAAAGGTTGTCTTTAAAAATTGCAAGTCAATAACCCTACTGTTGGAGTTCACAAGAAGACAGAAAAGTGACTTGCCTATGAAGCAGGCTAAATTATACTACAATCTGTAAAAATATAATTTGATAACTTACTAAACGACTGCCAACAAACTAGAGAGTAAAGGAACTGAATACAAAGAACGTAAAAACAATTTTATAATTAAATAATCATGCACCCTGTATCTTTGTGTCTTGAAAAACTGGCACATTTTGTACTGCAATATAATTCCAAAAAAATTTCAAATGTTGCTTTTTAAAAAAGGATTATAAACTCATTTTGCTTCCTTTTTTACAGTGTGCAACAACTTTGGCAATGTAACCAGGAATTTCCTTTGTGAAAAGATTAAAAATCAAAGGCAGTGAACCGGGAAATTATCAAGTGTAGAAAATGTAGAGAACTAGTTTGTCAGGTTCCTTTAGAACAGAAGCAACTTTGCGTTAATTACTAAAATACACTCCCAGAAGCAAAAAAACCAACTTCAAGATTAAGTACTTACCTAGAACGACCGTGTTAGACCGTCGTTGATGAGATGGATGACGTCGATTCCTCAGTACAACTGGTCCATATTTAAGTAAATCTTTCGGCAAGTTTCCTCCAGCGGTCGGTGATTGCACACCAACCCTTTCAAGTGGTCGATGCACTGGCGAAGTGGTCATTGCATTGCTGGAAGTTGAACAGCTGGCTGCCGATTCAGGCAAATGGTCAGCTGTTGATGTAGAAGAACTGGCCTGTTGTTCAGTGGAGTTATCTCCGCGATGTGTGCCGTCCACATTGACATTGTCTTCGGTGACATCTTGCGAAACGTCATTCTCTTCGTTAGTTGATTCATACTGCTCCTCGTCTGCCTCGTCGTCATCAGCATCGTCGTCGTCTTCACTAAAATGTGAAAGGTTTGAACTGCTACTTTGCAATGCGCTCCTGTCCCGTGACTGGCTGGAAAGGTACTGCCTATGATATTCAAACGATGAGAGGTGATCATCATCATAGTGATTGTCTAGATCTTCCCGAGAGCGACCGCTGAGCGGGGTGGCCTGTGGTGGCACCTCGGCGTTGTCGTCACTGCCACTATCAGACACTTCCACAATATCTTCCAAATTATGCTGGTAATTGGCGGCGGCGTTGTTCTGCAGTGCCGGATCCAGTTCGATGTCTTCATTAGGACAGACCTCGTTCACATAGGAAGACGAAGTGGACGTAGTGGGCGTTGAGCCTCCTGAAGCAGGCGTAGTGGCGGTGCAGTTGGAGGCAGCTGCAGTGCCCGCTGCTTCTCCGCTGTCAACTATAGCCGCCAGTTCATCGTCACTGGAATGACTGGAGTTGCGTCGGCGATTGCTACGCCGTCGGCCCGAGCGTGCCTGCTCAGTTAGGTGGTGTTGGTCCGAATTGAGGTTCAACGAGAGAGGACTGCACTCGTCGGTACCGTTGCCAATGAGAAGAGAGCTCTCGAACCTTGATATTAAATTTTGGCAATCATTAAGTAGGCTTTCCTGTCCGTTTTCAGTTGGACTAGTTGCAGTGGCATTGTTGCTGGTGCTCGACGCAACCTGAACTTCTTCACTGGAGATTTCACGCGCAAAACGACGACGGCCATCGCGATTAGCACGCTTTGACTGTCTCTTCGGCTGACCATTCACCACCACCTCATGAGTGAAAGGCGTCAACATGTTGTTTCCGCTATAGTCAACTGGATCACAAACAGCTGCTTCAGCAACAGAATCTTCCTCGTCATAGTCAGGGTCTGGCTCGTGCGAGTGATGACGGCGCGAAAGGCGTCGACTACTGCCGCTACTGCTAGCCACAGCAGGCGCCGTCGAGCCACTGTTCACAATTGATAGCTGCTCAAATGAAGAGCTAGAAGAGGATGATGACAAAATTGAGGAGGATTCATTCGGTGGCGAGTGGTCAGAGAGTGGCTGCAAATTAGATGGCGAGCAGGAAGAAATGACTACGAATTCTTCCGACACGATAGCTGCAATATCATCTGGATCAGCCTGACCAGATGTGCTTTCTGTCTCTGCAGATATAATGTTTTCGTAGTCGTTGTCGTCTGCCGCTTGATTATAGTGTACACCAGAGCGCCTGTTCGATAGAGACTCATTAACACTACCTTCAGTGGCTGCGGTTTGTTGTTCGGTGACAGCAATCTTTGTGGAGCCTTGGCAATTTACAAGATTGCTGCTGGCAGCGGAGAGTGAAGACAAGGGTTTCGGACAGTTCACAAAAGAGTTAGTGTTGTGCATCGAGCCGAGTCGAGCAGGGTTGTTGGCAGCTGATGAAAGGTCGGGCAATTGCGGTTTTGTAGCCGATTGGACATTCGCAGCAGTGGTTGGTAGTCTTTGCTGATTACCAACATCATCGATATTGTCTCTATGCAGTAGTGCATCGCTACTGGTGGCAGAGAAACTCGACGTAGAGGCACAAATCGAATCGGCGCCACTTGCAAAAGCCGTTGTAGTGGTAGAAGGAGGCAGTAGGTTCGGCGCTGATTTACCACTCTCTTGTGTGTGATCTTGTTTTCCGGTATCATCAAGAGTTGATCGCGCTGGCTGGTGTGAGGCACCCGGCTGAGGCGCCGTAGTTCGCTTGCGTACTGGCGGTGTCGGCGGTAAAGAGGATGAGGATGAGGATGAAGGTGACGAGGATGATGAGGATGCAGAGGCCGATGAAGACACTGACGAATTGGAAGACGAAGTGGAGGGCGTCAAAGATGCTGTCACCGAGCAATTCTCCTCGTTCACAATTTCCGTCCCTTCTGCTGCTAGAGGCCGATATGGTAGGTCGCTTGAAGGTTCAGCCGAAACCGTGGCAAGACAAACATTGTTTCCACTGACCAACTTGAGACTAGGCGAGTTATTATGATATGAATTGGAGCTGGAGTCTGTCCCAATAGAGTTGGCTACTGTTCGCTCCAGCGGTCTGTGGTTGCTTCCTGTAGAAGACTGTGAACTGGATTTGGCTAGCTGAAAGCTAGCTGAGGATGATTTTGGATGATTTTGTACTTTGGCACTGGAAGAAGACTCCGCGTCTTCATTTGATGTCTTCCGTTGGGGCTTTGGAGAAGAATAAGGAACTGGAGGTGGCGTCTGGGGAAACTGGCCACGATTTGACTGACCATTTTGGCCAACCAAACTTTCGAATATGTTTGGCGTCCGTTCAATCAACAAGCCGGATGGCGCTTTGTACTGTTGTGAGGCAGTAGAAGAAGTCGGTGGTGATGGTCGAGGTTGGGGAGCTTTTCGGTTTAGTAGCGACAAATGGGGGAGAGGTTGTTTGGCTGTTGTAAAACCGGTGATAGCTTTCTGATGTTTCGGTGGGAGAGGAGGGGCCGGTGGAAAGTTTTCAGCCAAATTATGTGGCTCATTTGACAAGATAAAGTGAGAATATGTTGAGGGTGATTGTACTGTTTGTGTAGTTTGAGGTTGAACTGTGGAAGAATTTTTTGTACTGACATTAAGCATAGGGTGATTGTAGCCTGGAAGGTGGTCCAACGAATGAGAAGCTAAACTACCAGAGGAATGATTTTGCGTGGTCGTGATTGTCGCTGTCGTTGCTGAATTGGAAGCAGCAGTTGTCGTGGCTGGAATTATTAAATCGCGATTCTGAAGGTAAGGTTGAAAGTAAAACTGATTGCCAGAGCCCAGCGTAACTGGCGCTGTCTGAGGGCTCTGCTTGGCATCGCGCTTGGAGTGAGCTAAAAAGTGGTAGAAACAACGAACAAGTGTTTAGCACTGAGAAAGCAAACAAATACTTAGAGTTGAGAGGAAACAAAATGACACTCACTGGCAGGTGGCTTCTGTGATGTCGACGGCGTCGCCGGCAGTAATGAGGAGAACAATGAGGCAGAGGAATTTCGTGTGCCATTTATATCCGAAGGTGCACTGTTACCACTCAGATGCTGCTGCTGAATATTCAGTACGGGAGAGTTGTTTATTGCCGCAGCGGATCCATTGATCAGGTGACTATTCAGCGATTGGTAGTTAAAGTTTGTCGGCTTTGTTCCCGAGGATGCTCCCCTGTGACCTGATCCGCTGGATCCTGTGTGATGGAAGTTGTGCCCTGAGCCTCCGGCAGAAGAATGATTGCCAACATTGTTGTTGCTGTGGTTTTTAGAGTTATCTCTTTTTTTCTTTCTGAAAATGTTGTGCATTTTGGCGGCTCATCGAGTTGAGAACTCTGTAGTGAGGAAAGTGTTGATGTCATTATTGTTGGGTTTAAAGAGAGCACCATCATTATTGTCAGGCTGAACCCTTTAACGTACCTTAGGAGACAGTAGACCTCAACCAGATGGAAGTCAGACTTGCTGATTGCAGCAGTCAACAATGGCGGCGCAACAGGATCTAATGGACTGATGGCAGACAGATGCTGGCATTTCTTGTCGCTTTCACAGCACATTCTAATTGCCACCGATATCCATAATTAGCTCTACGAGAGATGGCTCACTAGATGGATGAGCGCGTGTCTAGGCTATAGTGCTGACTTGCCCCCTTTTTCCGTTATAATCGTATACAGTACATGTTGGTAAACTCATAACATTTGGAGAAACGGCAAAAAGCTGCAAACATAGCCTGATCAAACATATCAAATCAATTTCAGTGTGTACAGAAAGAAAGGAAGAGGATGTGAAAGAAAAACAAAGAAAAAAATTTATCTTGAAACGATTGAAACAAATGTGAAAGAAAATATAACAAGATAAAATTACTATTTAGAGAATTTAAAATTTTTGCTAAAAATGGGTTTGCTTCCTGTAATGTAAACAAAGTTGCAAGTTGATGATGAGCAGATAATCGGGAAAAAACGAAATTCACCCTAATATGGAAGTCAATGAAAGCTTGTTATGCACAGTAACGCAGCTAAAAAGAACGAGTAAAAGAAGGAAAATTCTTTGTTGTTTTGGCAAATTAAACCGAAGTGAAATCACTGTGCGTCTGTATGGCAAACATCTGAAGAGTACTTTGGCATTTGCAGGTGTGTTGCTGCCGACAGCAGCTGCTGATGCGTTGGTAAACAAGAGCAATGACAAATTGGTATCTTCTCCGACACAGGAATAGGGGAAAGAATGCACAATCAATGATCTGATGAGTGGAAGGGAGAACGGCAAAGATGACCAGGAAGATGCGGTCAAAAGTGAAGAGACAGGTCACAGCACACTTTGGACTCACTCGGGTTCGGCCGCAGAGACCACACTGGAGGGCGAGGGATTCTCTGCTCTCTTTCTCACACAATACAGGCACAATAAAAAGTGCTCAGAAGCACTTTCTCTGTGAATTAGACTGCTCCAGGGCGGCAGTGCCCAGTTCACTTCTGTTTATCTCTTCTGGTAGTTTATCTAATTTAGCCAATTTACATCAGATATTATGAATACTCAGTTCACATTCCTGACGCCTAAAGTGCCAAGCAAAGCATTCCTCTTTGGCCTCAGAGATCATTGACCCTTTAGAAGATAATAGACTTAGAAGATTTGTGTACTGTGATTGTGTATGGCAGCGTAAACACCTCGTTTTTCACCTCAAATTATTGGGTACACTAGCCAGCATAACGGATATTTATAATTAATGAAGAAAGGAACACTTAGTAAACAAACACCCGTATCTTCTAAGCACGACCAAATGTAAGTAGTTTGTTGTTTTTCAAAACTTTCAATTAATTCCAATCATATTAAACTTATAGGTAAGCTATCAAAGAAGTTTTGTATCTGAAAATACAGTGTCACAAAAAAGACTTGCAGTTTTAACAATAAACAATTCTCATCATTCTGCAAAGAAACAAGCTTTCAAAATTTTAATTAATTCCTGCTTTCATCAATAACACCGTCACAAGCATATATACTCTCAACTTTCAGTGTATGCGTGTTCTTTTGTGCAACAAAGCTAACTGATCGCAATTAGTGCTCGCCTTAAACTCGCTGAAGGCTGCCTTGAAAGCACCTTGTGCGGCAATCAAAGCACAGACACGCACTAAAAGTATTTCAGTTTTCTGCTCTCTGCCCTCTATACGCTCTTTTGAGTCTTATCAACATCAAGTGCTACACGTTTACGCTAAGAGTGATATACTGCTTTACTGTTTCTGGTGATCACAAGTCTTTTAAATTGTAAATCAAAACCTTTGCCATGGGACTGTTATTTTCAAAAGTTTGGAGCTATTTTACTCATGAAGGTAAAGAGATTTTATGAAACTATAAAGTTTATTACAATTTTTTATATTTAGAGCATAAACTCATCATTTTGGGTTTAGACAATGCCGGAAAAACCACGATATTATATCAATTGTAATTATTCAGCACATTGGTGTGATATCAAAAGTGTAATTTTTGTTTTGTTTTGCAGTTTAATGGAAGAAGTTGTCCACACTTCACCAACCCTTGGCTCAAATGTCGAAGAGGTAGTCTGGAAGAATATTCACTTTATTATGTGGGACATTGGAGGGCAAGAATCACTTCGGCAAAGCTGGGCAACATACTACGCCAACACAGAAGTAAGTTTTGCAACAAATCTAATGAAAATAACCAGAATGTAATCATGTTTTTAACGCCCTTAATAGTTCATTATAATGGTCATTGATTCTAACGACCACCAGCGAATAAGCTATAGTCGTGAAGAATTATGGCGCATGTTGGAGCATGAAGATCTTAGAAAAGTATGTTGCTATTTTTTCTTATTTGCTCTACTTGACGAACCTTCTTTTCTAGGCATCTGTATTGATATACGCAAACAAACAAGACATCAAGGGATGCATGACTGTGGCGCAAATTTCTAAAGAGCTCAACTTGACAGCAATCAAGAAGCACAAGTGGCAAATACAACCATGCTGTGCTATTTCAGGCGAAGGGTAAGTAATAAAAGTTACCCCAAATATGATTGACTCATTTTGTATTTTATCACCTGTAGACTTTATCAAGGCTTAGAGTGGGTGGCTGAAAATTTAAAAAACAAACGGTAGTAGAAGTTTTCAAATTATTGACGGTATCATTTGTCCAAACATTGCTCACAATCATAATTCTCATCTTTAAATTATCACACTATTCTATATTAATGTTCATGTGCCAAACTGTGATAACTTTTACATTGGAACCATTTATTCAATTGGATATTAAAAGTTGTTGGTACTTTTTGCCATTGCGTTGCTCAAATTATCATTGCACCTCAACTTCAAGTACCTCAACATGACAATCAAAAAGCACTTCCAAAGATCACCTAAATCAATTTGCCTTGTAAAATAATTACCACTTGTCAGCTCTTGCCGTGAGAGGTACAGATGGCTGCTCCTCAGATTGTTCCGCCTTCAAGTTCAGCTAAATAATAACTTTAGACTGCTGAAGTGGATGACAAAAAGCAAAAAAAGTTTAATTGACTCTTACGAAAGCTTCAGTGGAGTGTAGGCAATAACAATGTGAACGTACTGTACTTGTAACCTTGATCGACCACATGTTGAAGTTGAAAATTTATAGTCGCTCACCGATGGTTTGTCTCTCCGAACATCGTCTCCAGTGAAGCGTGTCTTCTCAGGTTAAGACTTGAGTGCACGCCATTTACAAAATACTTATTTTTGTTTTTATTGTATTTATATTTTAGTGGTTTAAGGATAGATGAATATCATTACAATTTGTAGCACTTCAAAATAACTTCGGCTCTCAATAAACCTTTAAAATATTTCATCCATTTTGAGGCCTATTTCTAGCTTAAGCGATAAAGTTATTTTAGTTCCCAGACATTTGTTTATCAATTGAACAAACCCTTTTTCGAAAATTGAATGTTTTTAAGAACTGTCTTGGGAAAGATCTTACAAAGGCAGGTTCTTTAGCGCTAGACTGGTTGTGCTCACCAAAGAACGCAGCCAGTGTCCTGGCAACACTTTCCCTGTTTGTGTGCACTTAATTGCAGACATGCTACTTGATTAGATTAATTGCCATTAAATGGTGATTAAGAGGAGAACTGCTGAAGAGTATTGAACAGTACTGCTGACAATGGACCACACGGTGACACTGAGCTGAGACTGCACGGTGCACGGCCACATTTCACTGCTGCAAGCCATATCGCCGTTTCAAATTGGCGAGTGATGTTGCCGCCAGAAGAAAGATGAAGATGACGATGCGACCTATTCAGGTGCTGCAGTTCATCTTGGCAATCGCATTCTTTGCCTGGTCAGTGCGGCTTATCCTCTCAATGATCGGTACGATAAAGTGTCCTTTAATCATTAATTTTATTAAACTCATCTTTTTCATTTTAAACAGACTCGTCAGGACCATTAGATCCAATTGAGTTCAATGTAAGCCCAACGGGTAACATCAGCCGAGTTAGGTCGTTGGGACAGCGAGTTGAACTGCCAGTGCCAGTGGAACCAGAACCGACAACGACGACGACAACAACTTCGACTACTGCTAGCCCCGGTGAAGTCGAACTAAACGCAAACACTGATTTAACGCTTGTAGAAAGCTCTTCTCTCCTTTATTCCAGTACTGAAATGTCTGGAGTACCTGAGGTTGAAGGCTCTTTAGATGGCACCTCAACCGATTCAGTGCCCAGTGAAACGCCGCCAATAACCGATGTTGCCCCCTCATCGAGCTCGGAAAGTCCGACTACCACTGCATTGGCAATGCCACCGGAGGGTGAAACGCCTTTATCAACAACTTTATTGCCACCTGTTGATGCTTCTGAAAATGTTCCCAGTAATCGGCCTTCAAGTGAAGCCACATTGACATTTTCTGAGTCTAGTAACATTAACCCTGCAAATGACAACTCTGGGAAAGGTGCTTCGACTGTTCCATCTTCAAATGAACCTGTCACTGAGCCTTCTCCTAGTGACACCGCAGGCTCTACGACTGTTGAGCAGCCTTCTCCAACGGATACAACTCCACTTACCACAACACAACAGGTAGATGAGGCAAGTTTATTCCCGCCGACTACGATTCCACCATCAACTGATCAAACAAGTGTGCAAACTGTTGAATCGATCTCTGCAAGTGAAGTCACGTCAATCAGGTCTTTGGATACGACACTTGTTTCTATTGAATCAACTAGTCAACCGGAATCGCCAACCACGCAAATGTCGGGATCTGAATCTCCCAGTGTGACAGAGCCTACAATAAATGTGCCAACTGAAGCGACGCAACAGCCAACTGACACAATTACTACTACTTCTTTCGAGTCATTTTCGCCAACTCGAACTTCAGTTGAAACTACAACGGTAGAACCAGTAAATAATAATGATATTCCTAACTTGACGACACCATCTTCTTCAATTGATTCAAGTACTACAGTTTTACCGAGTTCAAGTACAGCACCTTCAGTTGAGGAACCAATTTCTGAAGCGCCAGCCGAGACTACATCAACAGTTGATCCTTTCGAAGTGAGTACTCCTGAAAGCGAGTCATTTGCTCCAACTTCTTCTGAGCAAGAAACAAGTAGTGTTTCTTTAGTTACTGAAATTCCAGCTACAGAAAGCGGGACTTTAGTTTATCAAACTTCAAGTTTTCAGCCAACTGAGTACTCGCAAAATGGCCCTTCAGACAGCCCCACAGTGTCACCTGTAACAATGCCATCAACATTTAGCATTTCACCGGTAACTGATATGCCTAGCACTGAAGAGATTGAAATGATGGTTGGGTCATCATCATCATCAACCACTGTGACTGACATTGATGATGAGACGGATGAAGGCAGCTCTCCGGAAGTGACACCTTCCCCGTCGACTTCAACAGAGACCACTGCGACTGAAGGTGCTGCTACGATGAGCACGGCAATCCCCGCTACTGCACAATCTACCCAATCCCCTTGGTCACAGGTATCCACAAGCACTACTACTACGACCACCACTGATGTTTCCACCAGGCCAACTAATCGCACAGCCAGGCCATTATGGACTGTTCGATACCCAACAGCAACAGTGCCACCACCATCCTGGTCATTTGGCGTCAAAAGTCCCAACAATTGGGGTTATCAGTTTGGAAGAAAGGGAGTTCCCGGTAGTGTGTACTATCCAAATCAGCAGCCAGACAACTACAACCCTCTATTTCCCTCTGGCTATGAACCTCAACAGAAGCAGCAACCATGTCCACCCTTCACTGACGCCTCCTCACTGTCCACCGTTTCCAATCCACAGTACTTTCACCTAGTTCAGCTGTGGAATCAAATAAGCAGGTTGCAGCGAGAGTTTGGACACCATAAATCGAAGCGCAAGTCACTGCAGCAAACTCTCATTCGAACATTGTATCATTTTAGCCACGCAACAGCTGACGAGATTCTAACGCTCTCACGTTGGATGGATGCGGTGAAGCAGTACTCGGACTACACTGAAATCGCCAGACTTAATCATATGCTACAGCTAACAAATGACTACCTACAAAAGCTTCTCCGCTACCAGGAGTATGACTTGTTGAAAGCTTTATGAATGTTTTTAAATACACGTATTAAGTTTGAATAAAAAACAAAAATTTTTTAATAACTAACAACAAAACGGCGAGAAACAAAACAGTTAAAATGTACAGTAAAACTCATGACAATAATAAAAATTGCTGTAAAAATACTGTAAAAATTCTGTAAAAGTACTGTAAAATATACTAATTTAAAAACGCCAAAGTGTCCATCATCAGCGTCCATCAAAAGGTATTAACCAAACTGGACGTCAAAAGAGGATTGCCAAGTGTGCGAGAAAAAATCCGGGTGACCGATAAGCAAGCGGAGAATCTGTGTAGAGTGCACTATTCCGGCAGCCTTGAGTTCGTTAACGACAGTTTTTCCGTCAGCTTGGTCCCCACCTTCAGCTGCCATTTGTCGCCAAATGATGTCGTCAGCGTAGCGAGCCAGACTGATCTCTGATGCGCCGGAAAGAATACGCAGCTTCTTGATCAACGAATTCTTAAAAGTTTCATTCTATCATCAAAAACAAGTAGTCAGTCAGTTAGTCAGTGAGCTTCAGGAAAACAAACTTACGAGTAAATCAATCCCCATGGGCGGCAAAATGTAGGACACATTCTCATTTTTGAGGAAGTTGTTTTTTATGCTTTCATTCAAATGAGTGTTGAAAACTTCATTGAAAGCTTCCTCGTACTCTGTGTTACTGCAGAAGCCGTCCTCACCTCCGCCTTGAGAGCTGCCCTTGAGATAGAGCGATAAATCCACTTCCCAGGAGTTCTCAAAAGAGGCCGAAAACTCTGCATAAAACTGTCGATCAAATTTCACGCTGAGTTTGTTGAAGAACGTCATTCCGTAAACGGCATATTTGAGGAGAAACAACTCTTCCAGCTTGGTGCGCTCCTGCAGGTTGATCGTCGTGTTGATCCCGTTGCAAATTGAAAACAGATAGTTCCAGAAACCGTTCAAAACGGTGGTGATGGTTGGCAGAAGCTCAAAGCCGTCGTGCGAAGTCATTCGACCACAAGCAGACACAATTTCTTCCACCTTTTTCTGTAGTTCAAGAGAATGACCACACCGGAGTTAGAAAACAGACAACGCATTTCGACAACAACAACACCTACCTTAACAATCTGCCGCAGTAGCTGACTGTCCTCCTGCTCTTGGCGCCCATTACTACCGTAAATGGTAATCACTGCACGATTGCTGTCTTGGTACACTCTTCGCTTAAGCATCAGCATGAACTTGTCTAGAATGCGCTGCACCACTGTCTGCTGAAGACTCTCCAGAAAGGTGTACGCCAGAGGAAGGTGTTCTGGGTAACGCTCACGAATGGCGGTGATCGCCTTCACCGGGCACCAGTAGTAGTGGTCCACTTCAGTGGTCTTCAGCTTCTGAAATCCAAAGCGAACTTCTTGCGAGTCGGTAAATGACAGTCGGTCGATGGCTTCGGTTAAACCTCTGCAGTAGTCCTTGTTCTCTTTGCTGTACTGTGCCAAGTTGCAGATTTCCTCCGGCACCAGCCAGGGCAGTCCCAGCAGCGGTTGTCCATTGTACAGCTGCTTACTGGAGCTTTTCTGCTGTTCATAGCCAATGGTGTACCAGGCACTGGCGAGAAGAAATCGCTCCTTCGGCTCTGAAAGCTTCAGCTTCTCCGCCTGCTCATTGAAGAGCGCCTGAAAGTGCTCAAACATGCCACGAACGAGCACCCTCGAGGCGTCAGACTTGTCCTCGTAGACGTCGCTAAAGAGAACGGCCTCTCCGGCAATGTTCAGCTGCTCCATCACCTCCACCGCTTTCAGCTGGTACTTGAGCAAGGCCTGCTCAGCCTGGACGACGTACTTCTCCCAGCCAGGCAGAACTAGTTGCACATTCTTGCCGTAGGAAGGCGACAGAGCAACCGACTCAAACTTGCCCAGGCTGACGACTCGCTCAATCAACGAGCAGTGGCGATAAAACTGGCCGAGAATTCGCTTTGACAGGTACACTTTGTCATGGCCACCACTACCAGCACGCTCCATAAAGTCAGGGCGAAGGTTGAAGCGGAAGAACTTTTGCGGAAACTCACGAATGACGCCGGTCTTTTGGAAGTCTAGAGAGATAGAGTAGAGCAGGGCGAGTTCGTGGCAATCCTTTGACTGCAGGCCCTTGGGATGAGCATCGGAGATGGCCAGATGAGTGCAGGCCACCTGGCCGATGTTGTTGAGAAGGAGGAAGTTGGTGTAGAACTCCACAATATCGGTCATGCTAATGTCCGTTTGGTGTTCCTTCGCCAGTCCGTAGGGAAAGTCCATGGGCTCGGCGTTCGGTCCGACAAAGAGCAGCTCCGAAGATGTGGTGAAGATGGCAAACTCATCGCCGTCCAGGTCACTGCCGCCCATCTCGTCAGGGTGCGGTCGGGCGCCCTTTGAGGGAAAGACGATGCAGTCCTTAATGCCGCGAAGGGCTTTCACATTGACGGCACGCAACTTGCGAACGTCTCCCGGCTGCAGACAGGGAAACTTGGTCACCATGACCTCGCCCTCGAGAATGACCGTCTCGTTGGACAGCTGTCCGGAGCTGCCGTCCGCCTCCATCTTCGTGTACTGAAAGAAGACCTGGCCGTACTCGAGGGTGCGCGTCTCGTCGACGACGCCAAAGGCGGTTCGACCGCAGGAGAGTGGAATGCGAATTCGAGCCTTGCTCTTCAGCTCATTCAGGCGGTAGCTGATGAGGTAGTCGACGATGGAGCGGAGAAAGGGCTCCGCCAGAAGGGAAATGCCCGCGGTGAGAAGGCGGTCATAGGGCAGGTAGGCGGTGGAGTAGATGCGCACCAGCTCCAGTGCGGCCTGGTCGTAGAGGGCGGCCTTCGCCACCGAGGCAGTGGCCTCCTCCAGCAGACGGTAGAGCACCGGTCGCTGGACGCCCATCTGGTCGAGGATGTTCACCAGCGGACGGTTGAGGGTGACCGGTCGGGGCAGGGAGTGCTTCAGTATGCCCAGCGAGCTGTCCGCCGAGTCGTACTTCTTCATCGAGTTGCGAAAGACAATGGCCGGCACTGAGGCCTGGTAGGCGACCAGCATGCCCTTGCAGCCGCCGTAGCGAATCTGAAAGGCCGACGGAAAGTAGTCGCTGCAGCTGCCGCCGGCCAGTCGCAGGTAAGGCAGGACAGACTGCTCCACCACTCGGCGGTCAATGACGCCCACGCCGTCGGAGAGAATGTGCTGCTCCCTCTTGCGGTTGACCACGTTCTCAAAATCAGGCTTCACAGCGCCCAGAATGTCGTCCATTATGCACACCTTCACCTGCGTCTCGGGCAGCTCGGGAATGATGGCCATTGCCTGCAGAGGAAGAGGAGAAGGAGGAGAAGGAGGAGAAGGAGATTGTGTGTTGGGGTGCTGGCAGCTAAAGCCACGTCAGTGTTTTTGTTTACCTGTGAAAACATTAGGCCGAAGCGTGCCACGTACTTGGCCACGTTGCGCTTGAACGCACTGAGGTCACCGGCGAGGTCGCGAATCTGCTGCGCCATGCGGCCTTGTCCGTCCTTGGCGTAGAGTATGACGCCGTGCTCTCGCATCTGACTGGACGAGGAGCCAAGAAACTCATAGAGTCGGTCGCCCACCTTGACGCCCTCCAGCAGGTGCGATCTGATGACGCCCTGCACAAAGTCCGTTTCCATCTTGTGCTTTCCTGCACCGCCGTTATTCAGCTTGCGATTATTGTCCTCGAGAATGGTCAGACGGATGGCGTAGTCAGTGTTGGCCATTGTGCTGAAGCGCGACTTGAGCAGCGGAATGGGCGGCTGCAGAACCAGTGTGGCCGGAGTGAGAACCGCCCGGCGAATGAGCACGTAATCGGTGGAGCTCTTTGAGAAGCAGTTGCCGCTGTCCTCCAGCAGATTTCGATTTCCGAGAAGTTTTGTGAACTCATCGTACACGTTCACAGCGGCGATGGCCATGTCTTTGCACAGAGTCTTCAGGTGGTACAGGCACTTCTCGAGAGATTCCAGATTCTGGCCGCAATCTTCTCTCGCCTCCTCTTGAACCGTATCGAGAAAGTTATCCAGCTGTTCACTGCTGCTGTTCAGAGCATCGAGCAGCGAATAGGAGTCGCCAAAGAGCACTCGACAGGCGTAGTAGATGGAGAAGGGGAGGCCGAGGCTATCAAGAAGGCCACACAAGGCGCGAAAGTCAAGGCTCGCCGGCTGATGCTGAACACTGCCGCTGATGGGAAAGTACTTGACTTCTTGAAAGTTGTTGGAAATGCTTTGGAGATTGTTGAGCAGAGCAATCGGGGTGTTCTCCATTTCGACGCACAGCGAACGGGCCATGCCGAGCAGGTGCTCATCCAGCGACGGTCGGCCGCTGCCGCTGCTACAGAAGATGGTAGTGGTTCGGAACCAGGGCAAACGCGAAATATCCAAAGCAATGTTAGGGGAATGCTTCAGCTTCAGCTCTGCAGCCTTGTCTAGCTCAGAGTGGTGCATCAACGGAGCGGAGTTTAAGATAAAGTATATCTTGACGTGGCCTTCGCGCAGCGCAGCCTTCTCCACCAGAATCTGACTCAGAATACTAAAGGAGACGTTGAGTTTGTAGCTGAAAGGAAGTGACAAAGAAGGAGTGAAGAGGCAGTGTCTGTACTGTGTTAGCTACTTACATTCGTTGCGCCTTTGAGTCAGGTGGAGAAAAGTAAAGTATGATTCGCTTCATGGCCATTTCAATCTGCATCACCTGCTTCTTCAGTGTATGCTCTTCGTTAGATCGCACAGTAAGGTGGGAAAAGTACTTGGAGCGATCAAGGAGGGATCCCATCGAGAAGGAAGTCATCTTTCCACAGGAACTAGAACGAACAAAGCGTTTATTGTACATTGTCGCTCAAGGTCAGTTTGTCAAATGAACGAGGATGACTGAGCTGCTCCAAATTTAAAGGCAGCTAGAGATTGCGTGTCAAACTAAAAGATATCTACGTGTTTTACCCAAAAAGTTCGAACAACTTATCACACGTCACAACTTTACTTTACCTTGAATTTTTCAGATTAAGTGGCCCTAGCTGTAATGAGATAGTCAAAGATGATGCACTCGTTTGTAAGGGGTTGGATGTTTAGCACAGTACAGATCATTGTTTCAAGATTTTATCGTTGAGTTTAAAGTCCTCCAACTCCTAATTTCGTTTGCTACCAGACTGTACCTGTTTCGACACAAGTGATGCGCTACTGTGTAGCAAGTTTCTGCTAGTCATCTGTTTTGGTCCGCAAAAGAAAACCAGAGAATTTGAAATTAACATTGTTGCATTGTTCTAATACACAGTAGCTGCGTATATAGATTTCTTTGTCAGTAGGCATTTTTATTTCATTCCGAGAAAATCAGTAAGTGTTTTGACTGAAAATGCTAGCCCTGCTTTTGGCAGCAAACAGTACAGGCGACATTCAGACGCACCTGTGCATTGAAGCTGCCTGCGCCGTGAGATCATCTGAAGGCTGGTACATTCTGGCACTATACATGACGGTAGGGGCCTTTGTCTTTTGCAGTGCCCTGTGCTGTGGTGCATGGGCCGACTGCGATGAGGCCAACTCAAGTGATCTCATTGTAATCAGTGGCCTTGGCAAGGATGTACTGCGCCGAGTCCCGCTGCACGCCATTCGATTGGAAGACTTTGTGTACCTCTTGCCGTCGCTCAGAAAGTCATCGACGGTGAGGAGCAGTCAATGTCGCACTTTAAAGAGTAAACCTGCTTTGAAGAGTAGTCTTTCCGTTGATACACCGACAAGTACCAGAGGATTACTGATGAAGAAAAGTCAAATAGGTGTGCCCTCTCTCAAAGTAAATGCCAAAATGGAACCTTTTTCGGTTAATCTTCAAGAGTCACAAAAATCTGTTAAATCTGAACTGTCAATCTCAACCGGCGTTGGTTCGAAGCAAAATGCAGTCAAACTAAAGTCTAAAGGAAATCTCAAACCCAAAATGGCCAAGATTAAGAAAAAGACAACTGAAGAAAGGCACCCCAATTCTTCTAATTGACTTGATTTGAAACTGATCCTCTGCGAATGTCCCAATTGATTAAAACAAATTACCCAACAAGTTGTTTTAGATTGGAACTACTCCAACAATGCAACCTTCTTTTAGCAAAGAGAAGCATTGTTCGTAATCACTTGCTATTTACCCTGTTAGCTCTGATGATCAGTCCGTTTTGCTTGTCTTTTGTGTTTTTTGCATTGACAGTGCACCAAGTTGTCAAGTGTCAAAATGCTTCCAGCAACCTAACCACGGTGACAAGCTACGCCTCTCACAATGTTTCCCAAAATAGTACTACTAATGTAACTACAACTCATCAATCTACTGAATATGGCAAGTGTTGAAGTTTGCACGTAGAGTCGTCAGTTTACTAAAACATGATCATTTGCAGCCCTGTTTTTCTTTTTCGGTTTCCCTGTACCGCTGCTCTACTTGGCCATTGCTGCCGCTGTCATTGTGCTGCTGCTTCTTTTGGCAATTGGATCCTGTTGCATCTGCTGTTTCTGCTGTCAAAGGGAAAAGGCTATCAATGACTCTAGCAGTCAGAGCTTACCTGAGTCGATCAAGCCTGCTCGGCATAAACGAGCTAAGAAGAAAAAGGCCAAAGCCCACCGTGAGAAGATTAAATCAGTGCATTCAGTGCACAAATCAAAGTGTTCAACGACTAAACAAACTGTAAAGACTGCCATGACCAGCACACACCGGTCAATGCGACTGCAGGCTCCGGAGACTGGTGCCCCTGGAAAGCGACCCTCCTTCCAAGAGTGGCTCAAACTGCGCGAAGAGATTAATGGCAAATCAAGCTTGAACCCTTCTCTGAGCAATCTGAAAGCGCAGTCTGCTAAATGAGTGCTTTGAGTATTTTCAGTCAATAAAACGCCATCATGGTGGTTTGGTGAAAGTTTATTTTTGTGAAAGTGCAACTTCCTTAAATAATAGGAGGAAACTCTCCTGCAGTTGGCGAATTTTTCAGATAGCTTTCGATCAGCGGGTGACCGCCTGGCCTTTGTTGTGCGAGTGAGCTCCGCCATGGTGGCCGTCCTTCTTCTTGTGCGCCTTCATATCGGAGCGGGCAGTGATCATGTTGGCATTGCCATGGGCGTCGGAGTGTGAGCCAGCCTTCATAGCGGAGCGAGCAGTGACCATGCCGGCGGCCATGTTCCCTCCCTCAGTCAGCTGCTTCCCACCTCCATGGACGTTCGAGGAGCGGGCAGTGTGGGGGGCTCCGTGGGCTGACAGACTGCCGCCGCCCTTCACATTTCCGGCGGAACGCTTGGAGGCGGCACTGCCTGCAGTCAGGGCAGAGTGGCTGGCCACGCCACGAGAGCGAGCAGTGGCAGGGGAGCCACCCTGGGCCACACTGAGCGGCTTCCCCGGCGTCAGGCCACCGGTAGAGCGGCGCGAGCCCACAGACAGTGCTCCCGGTCCTGCCATGGAAGTGGACCGACGGGAGAGATCGTCCGCCCCTTTGCCGCCGTGTTTGCCGTCGCGTTTTCTCTTTTTGCGTCGCTTGGCCATGGCAGTGCGAACGAAAAAGAGCAGACAGCAGAGGACGCAGATGGACAGTATGAGTGCACAGACGACTAGGAGGCCAATGGTAAGGGGCGACTCTAAAGGAGGAGGTCCATTGGGGGACATTGACATTAGTGGTTATAAAGTTCGTAATGGCCACTACTTACTCTTCTTTTCCTTGTCTCGAGAAGCAGGGCTGACACTGCATTCGATGATGCTATTGTACGGCACATAGTCGTATGTAACAGTTTGCCCCAAGTTATACGCCGCTTCGGGAAAAGTGATGACGGCATTCTCACCAAAGAGATAAACTCTTGAATCAACTCCAACAAAGCCGTTGAAAACTCTCCAGTCGACTGTTTCACACTTGCCTGTTTTACTCTTCGGGTGCTCTATGTACAAATCTTTTTTGCCTTTTTTGCAAACCTTCCGCAAGTGTGGCTTTACGTAGAATGCGCAAGATGCATTGTCAAAGACTTCGCCCATTGAATTGCCACCCTTTGCATGACTTACAGTTGTTCGAACTTTGTTGTTTTCACACATGCCGTACTTGACAACTGACAAAACGTTTTCAAAGTCAGAGATGGCGTAAAAACTGTCTAGTGAATTGCTGCCGATCCAGCGGATCCTGTCTTCTTTCTTGTGACGATATTGCATTCCATACCAGCCTTTCTTTCTGGCAATGTCCCAAATCATACCATATGTCAAGTTTCCCGATTTAGCTGGGTCACAGTCTAGAATCAAGTACTTGCCACTCTAAAATGCTTATGAAAAGTTAGTGATCATTGCTTAAAAAAGCATTACCTCATCTCTGGCCGGATTGCAAGACGGAATTTTGTCTTTAAGAGGTTTGTAGAGCGGGTCATTCACTATTTCAGGATACTTTTTTTCCAGTGGGATTGACTTTACTTTGTCAAAGTACAGATTGTTTATTGCTTCTTGTATAGATTTATTATCCTTTGCCAGGCCTGGAAACTCGTAAATATTCATCTTTTCAGTGACGACAATTAGATCGTCATTGACTGGACCGATGCACATGATGCCCTCCTTAGAAATGGCAGAGTGTGTAACGTTTAGGTGACAAGGATTGTACTTTTAACAAAAAAGTTAGAAATAATGATTTGTACAAAAGGTAAAGCAAACTTACTTCGCATTGTGCAAAAGTAATGAAAACCACAAGGAAACAAAAGAAACGCAACGTCATCATTCAAAAAACAGGTTGCAAAAGTATAACCAAGAAAGATCAATGTTTGTGTTTGTGATTTAGCTTAAGTAGCTTAAAAAANAGGAAACAAAAGAAACGCAACGTCATCATTCAAAAAACAGGTTGCAAAAGTATAACCAAGAAAGATCAATGTTTGTGTTTGTGATTTAGCATTAGTAGCTTAAAAGTGTTGGATTTATTTTAGAAATATTTGATATTGACACGTCAAGCTTAACAATTTTTGCAATTAGAACTTAGTTTTCCTGCAACGGCACCGGTATTACTTGGTTAAACTCCGTTTTCCATGTTTTTGATAAGTAGGATAGTTTTCCAGAGCCAGGAAGTTCCAAAAGAATAGCACATTTTATATTACTTAAATTTAGATGACCGGTGTATAAAGCAGAAAAAACAGGATACGAGGATTCATTTCCCCGAAACAGATTTTCACCAAGGATCACGTTTAGAGTGCTCCAGTGTACTACAGGATTGCCCTGGTTAAACTTCACCTTGTACTGAGCTTTAGAAATGCTGTTCACGTAGAAGACTACCTGAAAGCCGACATTCTCTGGTTTTAGCTCATACACAGAGCACTTCATAACAGTGCCTCGTTTCCATTCATCTTGGTATACAGTCAAACCAAGTTGCACTTCCGGAACAATGGAGCTCAGAAAAGTGACGTCCTCAGTGTCAAACTCCGGCGAGAAGTAGGCGGCTTTATCGTTGTTGTTTAGGTTCACACGAACTGTACAAAAGTAGCGACCGCGAACTTGCTCGTGGTTAGACGGCTGAAATAGTACTGAGTAAGTCAGATTCGCATATTGTTCCATCTGAAAAATGTTCAAGCCTGCAATTTGATTTATCGGCTTCCATGAAACTGCTCCTTCGTTCACTGTAAAGCATGATTAAAACAGTTTGTTACCCTTTATTTGGCTCAATAATGTAAACTTACAAATTTCAGAAGTGTTGGACTGAAAGTTCTTGTAATTGATAACCTTGTACTCGCCCAGCAAAACATCGTCTTTGTAGAATCCAACCCAGTAGTGAACTGGCTCGAACGAAAAGTTTGGCTGACACTTGCCAATAAAGTTTTGCCCTGATACAAGCGGTTTCGGAGCCACCGTGAAAAAGACCTTTGCCGTTATCGGAGCATTAGGTATTTGGTGAGCTTCAATGGGTATTGGAATTTCAGTTGAAAAGCAAGAGTTCAAGAAGAAAAAAAGACAGAAAAATAATGAAATAAAAAACGGCTTCATTTTGCCGTTTACTGACAAAACACAACTAAAATCTTTGCTCATGCAACATCAAATGGGAGCATTTATTTTTGGCAGTATTCACTAATCAGATGATAAGATTATGATGTACAACAGATATACTAATTAGTAGTAAGATGGCCATAACATTGCAAGACAACAAACTCACTGCACTGTTTTGTAAAAACCAAATGCTAGACTTGTGTTCGATAATAGTACTACTGCTTTCATCGCTGTAAGACACTGAACACTGATAGTACCCAGCTGCTTGATTATTAATTGGAAAAAGAGCAGCAGTGTAAAATGGATACGTCCAAGTTGAACCTCGAATAAATGTGAAAGAAGAGACAACTGATGGAGCGAACCAGGTGATTGAGGAATTGTTCTGTTTCAAATAGTTGCCCACTTTTTGAGAGTTGTAGAAAAAGCTAACATTGTAGTGAGTAGCCAGGGCAGTTGTCGGCATCACAACATAGCATGTAAGCGTGTTCTGACGACCAAACCTCAGTTCAGATGGAGAAATCGTCAAGTTGGCGCTGTATTTTGGAGGAGTAGGTGTAGGCGCTAAGTAGAGAGGACATTAGACTTTTAAAGTAAAAGTTATTTTTTACCTAAAGTTGTTGATGTTCCCACTTTTAAGAAGTTCACATTGACGCCTGCAGTGGAGTAGGTGTAGGTGAACCTCGATGATGAGTAGTACAGTGAACAGGTGTAAACGCCATTTGCTGAAGTGTCTGAGGCCAATTGCCTTGTGGTGAATGTTGGATACTGCGATGATCCAGAGGTGACCAGCAGATCAGGCGCCTTTGTTGGCGTTGACCAGATCATTACGCTTCCATCCACAGTCCAGTTCCCGGTAAAGTTGTTGTCTCTTTGAAATAGTATTGAGTATACTTTTGGAATAGGAGTAATCTCAAGATTGCAGTGAGGCTCAAATGTGTAACCAAGGTAGGGATTTGTAGGCTGATGACTGTAGACTAGGCTCTTCAAATAAGGTATAGTTAGAAGATTGGACAGTGTTTTGTTTGCCATACACAGAGCATCTACTACACCCAAAGTAATATTGGAGTATTCAATTCGATTTGGTGCAAGCACATTGACACTAGGGGCTAAACAAAGTGTGTTTTAGTTTTTAAACTCTTTTGTAAATTGTTCATTTTTTACCTTGATAACCCGTTGTTGAATCGTAAATGATCGTGCCGGAAACCATAAAGATCATCGCAGTATATTGATTGAGATTCGGAACATCACAGTATAACTGTAAAAAAGCGTTAGGTGGATATAAGAGCATTGCTGACGCCTGCAGAGAGACATTGGATGATTTCAGAGATGTTATTGTGCTAGCATTAGAAAAGGCTATGAAAAGAAAGAAAAAGATTGTTTTGATCATTTTTTGGGTGTTTTTAAAATTGCATGTGCAAACAAAGAAAACAGNTTTTTGGGTGTTTGTAAAATTGCATGTGCAAACAAAGAAAACAGTTTTTTGTGTTGGCCCTTTTATTGTACACAATAACTGATTACAGGGGCAAATTATGTTCACACCTGATAGTTGCATAGTATTTGTGCAATTGTTTTATGCGGATTTAAAAATTCATCTCGTTTACATTTTTACAATAAAAAAGTAAAATGTTGCATTGTTTCAGATTATTCTTTATTCACTATAAAACTTTACAAAATGTCAACATAATTTTTTCTAGTACGATAATCATTCCTTTGATACAGTTTTGCTTAAAAACTTTGAACATTTAGACTGCAAAGTCTTTGCTTCAGATGAAATGGCCAAGTCAAGCAAAAAGGACACAGACTCGGATGTAATTTTAGAAACTAGCCATTCTTGACAGTCTTTTTTGAGAGAATGCAAACGATACTTATAGGGGGAAACAGAGTTAAAACAAATTGACTACGCTACATAAATGACCTACCTTGTTAGCAATATCCAACAAATCAGTAGCATATAGCTGCATCGAAGAATCGGTAATTTGACCGGTGTTGATGTATTCAAGAAGCTGCTCAACAACCTCCTTGACATCGTCCACTTCGATGCGTGATGTTTCCTCATCTTTTAGCAGTTTGGAAAAGACACTTGAAGCCTTCTTCAAAACAGATCGATTAGCGTTGAGGAGTTCACCTTCAACAACAATAGTGACATTGTTTTTCGGTTTCACTTGAGTAGCCATTTTGGTGGAATTCTTTTTGCGAAGAAAAGCTGTTTCAGCGTTTTACGAAACACAAGAGCAGAGAGCGCTGTCATCAGCTGAGCTGAGAAAAAAAGTTTTTGTTGTGCTCCCAGTGAATCACTCGGAAGCGCTGCTGGCTGATTTGCAGTTTTGCCAATTTAATGTCATTTAATGGTACAATTTAAAAGTATTGCAAAATGAATACATGTGTCACTATTTAGTGCAAAGTCGTATAAATTAAATACAAAATGAAAATTTTCATGTTAAGCCTGCTGAGGGCGTTGCGATTGCCTCAAGGTTGCCTTAGCGTATAGTTCAGGTCTCCTACTTCTGAACAAACCAAGGGTGACTGCTGAGACTTTCCACAGAGATTCGCTTGGTCGCATCCGTTGTCAGCATGAAGCCGAGACAACTTTTAGCGTTATCCGAGACCTTCAGAGAGCGAATGTTTCGCTGAATTTCGTTCTCAATCTTTGGACTGTTCTTGGAGCAGTTGTATGGGAATTTGTTTGTCAGAACGTGGAATAGAGTGGCTCCGGCCGACCAGACGTCAGCAGCGACAACATCGTAAAACTCCTTCTTGTGGTCGCCATACGATTCAGGAGCGTGGTAGTCATTGCCAGTGGTCTTCTTCTTCTCCAGCGGTCGGCAGGGCTGGTAGTTGATGTCATTCTTTTGACGAAAAGATTTTTTGTTAAAATATGTGGGAAGTTCTGCTTTACCACAAAACTGTGACTTCCTGAGAAAGGAATTTTTACCTTTTTTTCGTTGTAGTAGATGACCGCCTTGCGGAATCCAGTCAGTTTGATGCGCATATCCTTGTGCATCACCAGAATGTGCCAGGGAATGAGTGAACGGTGCGCTAGGCCCATGTCACCCAGAAAGTCCATTCCCATGCGCAACTGACAGGCGATCTGCTGAACCTCTTTTTCGGGAAGAGCAGCGCCGCCCTTGGACTTCATATAGTCGACCAAGTTTCCGAAAGGAGCTAGCTCCTGAAAGACGTACACCGAGTCATCCTTGTGAATGACGTCCCAGGTCTGCGGGGAAAGAGTGAGAATAAAATAACATTTAGAACCCTATCTCAAACCCTCCTACCTGAACAATGTTCGGGTGCTTCTTGCTCAGGTGACGAAGCATCTTCAGGTAGTGCGAGTGATGAGGGTCGTAGGCCGGCTCATTGGCGTCATAAACTTTAACTACCAGAGGCAAATCAGGAAATGACTTGTGGTGGCACTGGTATAGTGCCTTGGCAGAGTGGGGCTTCCGATCCAGGGGCTTCTTCTTGTCTTTAAAGTCGTACAAGTTAAACTGCTTTTTGCCCTCTTCTGTGGGCTCGGTGGCCTCCGTCTCCTTGAGCTTCTTCACATTTGCCTTGAGCAGCATCTGAACAAGAGCGAGGTTCAAGTTATTCAATACAGTCAAAAAAGCTCATGACATTTTACCGTACCTGAATGAACTGCACTTTCTTTTGGTCAAAGGTCATCTCATGTTCCTCCTTCATGCCAGGCACGACCACCGGCTTCAAAGCCATCTGAGTGTCAGGAATGGTTTTCACCTTGCGTTTAGTTTTGCTTTTAGAAGACTTGAGTGACTGTTTGGAGCGTGACTTTTTTAGTTTGGTAGAGGACTTGGAAGGTGCTTTGGAGATGGCATCCTTTGCGCCAGTGGACTCCACCGATTTGATCTTGCTCTTGCTCTTTTTTGAGGTAATTTTTGATGATGAGGCTTTGAGAGACGAGGCTTTGCTGTCAGGCGACTTGGAGGCCATCTTACTGCCTTCAGGCGTTTCATTCACGACGCTGGGCTGCTCGCGAATCTTTTTGTTTGCATCACCTGGTTCGCCATCGGCATTGGAGCTTTCTGAATCGCCTTTCTCAGCGGAGGCGTCCATTTTGTGCTCCTTCATGTACTTGATCATCTTGCGAGTTGCGTACGGCATTGCGAAGCGTTTAACAACCGGTCTACAAAAAAAGTGACGAGTGAAAAGTACAGTGAAACTTTTGTAGAGAAATTGCATTAAAATGGAACTTTTACGAAAGAACGTTAAAAATAAGAATTTTATTGTAAAAAAGTAAAAAGAATGAATCAGCCGTTTTGGCGCAAGTTAATAAAAGGATTCTAATGCCAAGGTAAAAGTAGAATCCTCATGGCAAAGCAGTGACTACTTTGGGTTGGCACCAGCGTTTTTCTTCTGGAGAACCTTGCTAGAACGCGAAGGGCGAAGTTTGTTCGTGTTCATCAGCGAAATGGAGCGCAGCTCTTTGCTCTTGTTCCACTGATCCACCTCAAATTGAGTCGCCTCCGAGTCGAGGGCGAGCACGGCAAAGTTGTCGTCGACGTAGAGTCGGGCGACGCCAGCCTTTATCACCACCTCCGACCCTCCGGGCAGCAGCTGGTTGCTGGCCCCACTCTGCAGGGCCAGATAGCCGCCCACCTTCAGCATGTTGCCCTCTCCCGAGAAGGAGAAGCAGGCCTTGTGGAGCGAGCAGACGTGCACGGTGGCGCTGCCTGAAGCGGCGATGATGCTCAGCTGACTGTGCAGCATAATCTTCTGGCGGTCTTTGCAGTTGGCGTCATTCATCACCAGACTGACGTCGACAGTGGAGGGAGCGTGCGCCTCTTCCGGCGAGCCGCCCTTCTTCTTCTTCACCGAGGGCTCGTAAATGTTGACGCCCAGTGGCTTGTAGGCGTCGCCGGGTGAGGTGGTGAGAAGGCCGTGAAAAACGGCCACCGGACGCTTTCTGCCGTTCATGGTAAAGTAGAGAACGTACTCGGGGTGGACGTTGTTGGGATCACCGGCCTTGCCGGAGCCATGGCCGAAACCGTCCTCTCCCGGCTGTCCACTGGGCAGGTGGCCGTAAAACTCGTAGGCAAGCTCTCGACGGTTGCCGGTGTGCTCAAAGGCGTCCACTTTGCCGTACACGTCTACCACTTGCTCGTTCACGTAGATCATCGTGTTGCCCGACACGGTGAGCAGATTCAGGCCAAAGCACAGCTCCACGGTGGGACTGTGCACTCGCAGTGAGCCGCTCAGCAGCAGCTTACAGGGCAGGCCAATGAGGAAGAAGCGATCGATGCCGCAGTTGAAGTGCAGCTCCAGCGTCTGCGTGGTCACCGCCGACTTTGACTCCTGACTGCCGGTGACGGTGATGACGATGAGGTTCCTCTCGAGGAGGAGGGCCTGCGAGTCAATGCCATGCTGGGTGGCGCCACTGTGCCAGGCGCCCTCGCCGCCGCCGGTCAGCTGGCTGATTTCAATGTGCTTGCGCTGGCGAAGTATTTCATTGTTCATCTGCTGCTGGTCAGAGCTGCTGTTCTTCACCGGATCAGGCAGGCTGCTGTTGCTGCTGCTCTCCAGGATGACGCAACTCTCAGGAGCAATGATCGGCTCACGGACAATCTGCTCGCAGTCAACGACTGCGAGAGTGCAACGAGACTTCAGCACCAGAGAACTGCTGCTCTTTGAGCTGACAGTGCCATCAGCATTGCGCGGAAACGAGTGAATGATGAATTGCGGCATGGTGAGTCACTGTCGTCACTAGTTNACGCAACTCTCAGGAGCAATGATCGGCTCACGGACAATCTGCTCGCAGTCGATCAGACCGAGTGGGGTGCCACGAGGCTTCAGCACCTGAGAACTGCTGCTCTTTGAGCTGACAGTGCCATCAGCATTGCGCGGAAACGAGTGAATGATGAATTGCGGCATGATGAGTCGCTGTCGTCACTAGTCTGGGTCTATTTGTTTCACTACTAAAACTTGCGCCGCATACAGTGCAACAGGCTAAATAAAGATAAGTAAGTTCGAAAAGTGAGTTTCACGTAACAAGTTGAGATTTATTTGAGAACATTGGATTGTATATAATACAAAGAAGTAGAATAGTTCATAGGACGAAAAAGTTGAAGAAGAGAGAGAAGGAGAGAGTTGTGAGGATGTGCTTGTGGGGCTGCTCTCGCAGAATGTGATGAAACGTTTTCAAATGAAGTGAATCAAGTGGAGTTGTGAGCGAGTTAGGCAAACATAAATAAAGAGGATGGAATGAGAGAAGTGCACAGAGCAAAGTTGGGGTGTTTATCGCAATACTCTGTTGACTTTGGGCTTTTTCTAATATCCGCCAGAAAGGCCTCCGCCACCACCTTTGCCACCACCTCCGTAGCCTCCGCCGCCGCCGCCACGGCCACCGCCGCCACCGCCTACAGAATTGAAAAGAGTACATGGATTAGTATGGGAATAAAAGTGATTGACAACTGATAGAATTACCATAGCCGCCGCCGCCACCACCTCGTCCTCCACCGCCACCTCCATAGCCTCCGCCTCCACCTCCGCGGCCTCCACCGCCGCCTCCGTAGCCTCCGCCTCCGCCGCCGCCCATTGAATATCCGCCACCACCTCCTCCTGAACTTCCACCACCACCATAGCCTCCTCCTTTTTAAAAGAATCATTGTTACAAAAGATAATTTAAAAGCTAAACTTTGTGTCATACCTCCAGATCCGCCTCCACCATAACCTCCTCCTCCTCCGTTGCCTCCTCCGCCGCCTGAGTAGCCGCCGCCTCCGCCTGAGCTTCCGCCACCACCATAACCACCACCGCCTGAGCTTCCACCACCACCATAACCACCACCGCCTGAGCTTCCGCCACCACCATAACCACCACCGCCGCTACCGCCGCCGCCGCCTCCTATACAAACATTAAAAGAAATTAATGGGTTTGTAAGCACATTGTGCAAGAAAGGTAAATGAAAACATTATTACTTACCATAACCACCTTTGTATTGTAGAAATTAAAAAAAATATTTGTTAAACTTGTAAAAGTTTAAAAAGTTTAACTAATTACCACCGCCGCCGCCAAGACCACCTGTTTATTAAAAACAAAAATATTTTTTAGATAAATGTTCAAAATAAAAAAAATAAACTTACCACCGCCTCCTCCATAGCCACCACCTCCACTTCCTGTTTAAAAAATGGGCTATAAATTTTTCCTTGTTGGTAATAAATTGGTTTCATTCGTACCACCACCGCCATAACCACCACCACCGCTGCTTCCACCACCTGTTTACAAATAATTTATTAACTTTAAGAGTCGATGATCATTTCATTTTATTCGTACCACCGCCATAGCCTAAAAATAAAAAATAGTTAAGTAAAAAAATAATGTAAAAAAATCAACTGAAGATCACAAACCTCCTCCGCCGCCGCCGTGGCCTCCTCCACCACCGCCCATTGAATATCCGCCACCTCCTCCTGAACTTCCACCACCACCATAGCCTAATTAAGATTTTATCATTATATTTATTAGTATGATTTAAAATTCCAACAGCACAATATTTACCTCCTCCACCTCCACTGCTGCCGCCACCACCTGAAAATAAAAACAAGTTAATCAAAAACCAATACAAATTATTATCTTTACTAACCGTAGCCACCTTTAAGTTACAAAAAATCATAAAAAAATATTGTAAGTTTTGAAAATTTAATAAATCGCAATTTATTACCACCACCGCCGCCTAGACCACCACCTGTTAAAAAAATTATTTTTGTAAGTATTCGAAACTTTAAAGTATTTTTTTCTTGCTCTATTTAGAGTGATGAACTATCGTCGTTTTGAAGTATATGATGATTAAATTTCCTTGTCAGCTCATACGTTTATAACTTTCTAACAAATTTTTGTAATAATAAATCAAGTAAACTCACCGCCACCTCCATAGCCTCCTCCTCCACCATTTCCTGTTTGAAAAATATCCGTTAGTTTTCTAAGTCGTTGGTCATTTTAATTTATTCATACCGCCACCGCCGCCGTAGCCTCCACCGCCACTTCCTCCACCCCCGCCGCCTTTAAAGATACATTAAAGTTAGTGTCCACTAAAAGGTATTTTGATAAGAAAACCCACTAACCATATCCACCACCTGGAACAAATAAAATTTAGTTTTTATACATTAAGAAATAACAATGCAATCTTACCACCACTACCGCCGCCACCAGAGCCTCCGTAGCCTCCTAAAAGTAGAATCGACCATGAGTTTTAGATAAATAAATGGTTGTTATAAGTTGATTGACAATGACGCTAAATGTTCATTGATAAGTAAGAAAACTGGTAAAAGAATAAAACACACCTCCACCCATGCCACCGCCACCACCTCCGTAACCTCCACCACCTCCGCCTGAGGCTAGTACGAATGGCACTGTGGCCACCAAACACAAAACAAAGAACTTCATAGTGTTGGTGTGTCAACTGATAAAGGTTGATATTTTAAATAATACAAAAAGAAGATAAATGCAAATGGTGGAGACACCGAACACGGGATAATAAAAATCCGTGACCGTGTCTGCGCAGCGTCACGAGAAAGAGTGTGCGGTTTATCGTGCTCTAGCTTCGCTTAAATAGTCCATTCGACCAGTCGTCTGTCATATATTGTGTTACAGAAGCGAAAAAGCGAAACAATTGACAAAGACACGCCACCTTTACCGAGCTCACCTGAACTCCAACAAGTGGCTCTGAGAGACGCCAGCGTTGAGACTGCCAGCATTGATGCTAGTGAGAGTGAAAGTGGTGAGAGTGGCAAATGGGCCTAAAGGAACAACAGGAGAAACTCGGAAAAGAGAAAGTGAAAGAAAATTTAGAGTGAGAAAAAGGAAGAGAGAAATACGCGACCGAGAAAGACCAAATGATGTTCAGAGAAAGACGATAGATGCAATCAGCAGTGTCAGCTTCTCATAGACTGATAAGGGAGAAAATTAATGGCCACGCAGTATATGCTCAGAAAGGAATGACTAAAAATACCTACAACCATAGTGCCTCAAAAGGCACGTGTGCTCAGTATGCCTAATGAACAATTTGACAGATAAACCTGCTGTTTTTTCACCAGAGGTCACAAAAGGAGACGAGTTAAGCCCACTTTTTGCACAAAAACCATTAAAAAAGTTGGTGATCAAGTGGTAATTTTATGTTGTTTGATATTTGCTCTGTGGACTTAGCAAAAACACAATTGTGCTCTTTAAACTCACACACACACTCTTCACAAGTATGCATGCATTGTTGTCTTTTCCCACTTTCAATCCTTTCTCGTTCAGACGACAGCAGTTTTAAAATATTTACTTTTTAGGAAAATCTTCAGGACAATGGAGCAAAAACAAAGAAAAGCTGATGTTAAAAAGCGATTGAGTTGAAATTATTACTTTTTTTTAACAATGCACACTAGTCGGTGCGGCAGTTAATCAGTGAATGATTATCAATCTATTTCATGACATGTTTGTCTAGTTGATCTGATAGATACAAATATTTTCTTATTGCCGGTTGTAAAACCAGTAATTGTCATTTTTTTCTTATTAATGTTTTTATTTAAATTAAAGTAAATCAAAGCAATTACTTTGCGACACNCAAAAACAAAGAAAAGCTGATGTTAAAAAGCGATTGAGTTGAAATTATTACTTTTTTTTAACAATGCACACTAGTTGGTGCGGCAGTTAATCAGTGAATGATTATCAATCTATTTCATGACATGTTTGTCTAGCTGATCTGATAGATACAAATATTTTCTTATTGCCGGTTGTAAAACCGGTAATTGTCATTTTTTTTCTTATTAATGTTTTTATTTAAATTAAAGTAAATCAAAGCAATTACTTTGCGACATCTAGTTTCCAATTCTCTGAATATTGCATTAAATTCGCCGTTTGCACTAATTGTTTTAATTACAGATAACAACTTAACTAAACCAGTCTAATAAAACTAAAATCATGATTAAGCTTAACGAACTACCTTTTACTTGTTTTCGTTAAAATCAGATGTGCATTTAGGTTATAATAATTCAATTTAGTCAAAGTTTAGAAGCCAAGTAATAAAAATTTTATAAAATCTGTTACATTTCTTAATGGTTTGTTGCTATGCGGCACAACAGTGGCTTTCAGCAACCTCGTTCATCATTGATCAATTGCAATTCATTGTGTTAGTTTTAAAGGAAGGAAAAGGTAGTTTTATTTTCTCACTACTGCACTTTTGTCAGTCTACCACAATAAATCATCGTCACTTTCAGGCAGAATTAATTTTTTTCGTCAATGTACAAGCCGAGCTTTGCTCACATCTCGATCTATCATCATACTGAAGCAATATTCGGGTTTGCTTTTAATTGCCCCACTCAACAATTGTTCTTTCTACTCACTTACTCTACTCTATGAGCACTCATTGAATGGCCAGATTTGGCGTTTTTCTCTTATGCCTTTTACCTGTTTGGACTAAAACGGAAAAATCCGCATTTTTCTCTATTAGTGAGCATGTGCCAACACCCGGCTATAGTGCATTACCGAGAAAAGACAAGTAAAGATTACAGATTCTGACCGGCCAGCGAGTTTGTGACGGCAGCACCCACGAGTGATGAAGGAAGTGCTTTCATTAC